ACACAGAGAACTAAAGATTGTGCGCAACAAGTATGGCACGACGACACTGCTTTCTTCCTCCAAACTCCGTTCCTATCTCGATTTTAAGTCGTCACTTGAGCAAGAAAATTATTTGTCTTGCATCCATGTTTTCAAATTCAGAAGTGCATTGTCAAGGTTACGTTGTTCTTCTCACAATTTGCGTATTGAAAAGACATGAAAATTTCCCCCTCGATAATAGATTGTGTGAATACTATGTTGAACGAAATCAACTTTATGTTGAAGACGAATATCATTTTATAGCTATTTGCCATCGTTATCAACGTATTAGAGTAGATTTGTTGCCTGTATGGTTTTGCACCAACCCCACTTACAACAAATTTATCTTGCCCATGAGTTCAAGAAACGATGTAATTTTAAACCAGTTATCGAGTTATATTTATTTTGCCATGAAAAGCAGAACTTGAATGATTTTTGTTTTCTCTATTGTTACAATTGTTAAGTGAAACTGTATTTGCTCTTTGGGCCAATGGCCTTTTTCTTTGCAATACATATACATTCATAATTGCGTAAATTCTCTTCACATTCTTGGCGAAGGCTAATTTAACTGGTCGAATTTTAGGGCATGGATTTAATTTACTGGAAAAGTAGTATAAACCTTTAAACCACACTCAATAACAGATCACATTACAAGCAACGATCAACCACTAAACTTATTTCTTATGGTTATTATTATTCAAATTTAGATCGGAATGTTTGCTTTGTAAACGTATAATGTTTACAGAGACCGAACAAGACAAGTTACAAGCCAGTTTTTGATTCCCTCTTTACCCATCTTGCTAACACACTATGATTAATAAGATCATGGCGAATAAAGTAATATTATTATGTGTATTTATTTATTTGTATTAATTGAAGTTTAACCATTCAAATAAGTATAGTTATTCATTGTCTCGTTAGGAATTGTTCAAAGTTTGCTCCTCACACTTAAAATGTGGAAATATCGTCATCAATTTGGCATGAAAGTATTATTTTAAATTAACTGCTTCAAGTTTTATAACTCTTTAACACCGTTGGAAAGATCCTTTAGGTAAGCTGGTATCAGGAACGGTATTAATCTGTCAATCAGTGCTTTTGGAGACAGGTGCATCTCACTCTGGATGAAGTCAACTATCCGTGTCTTGTTAGGGTCTCTGTAAGATAAAACGAGTTTAAATTGCAACTTTCCCTGTCATGTACCGGCACTGTAGTATGTACGATCCATATATACCGTAATAGTAAATATATCGTTTGTGTGCCAAACACTCTCACACATAACAGATAAATGAATCACCTACCCGTCCACTTTATATAGCAAATGACCAGATGGGTAGTTTCGAGCACGGACATACTTCTTAACAGGTGGGCATTCTGGGTGATCAACACTTACGTCTGACAATGAACGTAAATAATGTTAAGATCAACAGTGCTGTGGAATTGCTATGTTATTGTGCAGTTGTTATTTGCGCGCATAGTTGCTATGCAAGTAAAATAATGGCATTGCAAAGCATGACGTTAGGAAGAAGTTAAGGAAATATCTGGTTTCAAACTGGTTGTCATGGCCGTAGTTATGGTTGCAAGACGGCATATATGACAAAAAATACAGGCAACTTACAACAATTTGTGATAGTGATTACAAATGACACTACTCTAAGAATCCAGGAGACTTTAAGCTTTATTTTTCTCGAAGATCTGGAATTTACAACTTTTGAGATGTAATAGAATTAAATACATATTCATAAATAACAGTCAGGCAACTAGGCACATCAAGCATACAGTAACATACCGTAGATCACATGCACGTCTTTCTCCTGAAAATGACGTACACCAACTAAGTCACAAAAATCTCGATGAGATACGAGACCCCCTAGGTGACTGGGAGTTACGCTGTATATTACCTTCATGTCCTAAAATAAATATACACATATATAATCAGTATCTTGATACTCTCTTTATCGATAATTGCGTAATTTGTCAGCGGGATGTGTTTTCTGCCTTATAGCAATGGACAGCTCGGTATTCATTACCCGACATGCCTCACAGTTGTATTCATATATAATTATCACGTTGTTAGTTATATTAATTGCTCCAGAGTAAATAGATCATTGAGTAATTCTCTTATTGTCTATATAATATAACAATGTGGACAGATGGGTATGGTTTATTTTGGCATGACTGACTATTATGAAGAGTAAACAGTACCTCATTGATTTGTTCTATGACTGAGATCGACTCAATTGAAGAATTCCACTTATGGTGGTTTTCTATGTCCATTATGACGGCGACAACCTTCTCAACTGGCGCGTCTATCACAAATTCTACCTTGAACCTAGATTTATAAATGATTGTTATTGCATAATACAATACGACGAAGATAGTACAGTTTGTGATACTGTAATGTAACAATTGTAATTGTTTCTGTAATAAGGTTTTGATATTTAGATTATTTTCCTGGGGGTCATGCAGTTCCAAAAATCGTGGCTATAATTATTCAAGTTGTCATTTTATATTAAAGCAATAACAATTGAATAGGACCTCTATTACATGTGATCGACATACCCATGACGTCACATTGAAATTATTTGGTTCAACAAGTTTGAAATAAATCACCTGAATGGAATCGACACGTACATCGTGTTCTCTTACTTGTACCCTGTTAAACACTGGACGACCACAACTATGTTGTACGCCACTTGAACTAAACTTTTTAATATATATCTTTGCTTCACTTTGACATTCTGTGGCTATATTGTATAACCTATCACCAAACGAACGGGTTTATGCCAAGAAATGTTTTTGGTTGAGATACTTGTAGCAACATATCCAAAATGTATTTATCCATAACAAATGTCCATTTCAAACTTTGGCAATAAATTTCCACTTTTATCAGATTATTATTGGGTTGTCAAGCAAAACCATGTTGACCTTTGTCGACAGCTGTGCTTCCCGAAACTATTTCATCTCTCCCAGGGTCATTGAGAAGTTCACACAATTGATAATAATAATAGGCCCAGAAATTCACAGCAATAAATGATAAAAATATCCAGGCTGATAGACAACAGATGCACATGAATTGCAAAACACAACAAGCCGATAAACTAAACAGATCTCATTTTCAATAATGTACACTCGCGGCAAAAAACAAACTTTGTTATGAACACTGAGGGCAGTATGAATCCGAGAAGGCATTAGATTGACCTATGATTTTGAATGAGCGTTACTTCATTGCTGATTAATGGGCGTATCTCGATTTTTATTGAATTTATGATGGGACTATTTAAAAAAACATTGGGCGTAGATGTAAATGTCGCAAATCACACAATTCACAATATCAGAGAGTTATTTGGTGATATTATCAGAAATTTATCCGAATGCATGTATTCAGCCGATATTGTATGAAGTGCCTACTTCAACATGATCAAAACGTTATGATATAACGTTCACAATAGGAAAGTGACAATTACACTTCAGCTGATCAGTTTAGCTGATTTCCGTTAAATGAAATAAGTGCCAAATCAGTATTTTGCAGCAAATATTCGTAACTCATTGCATTGTATGCTCCGTCAAATATTACGGAGCAAAAATAATCACAGCATGCTAATAGAAAATGAACCTAAATTTAGTGAAATATAGCGGCGTTTGTAAACTTATGATCTACAAACTAATTAAATTAACTTTAATATACTTTACTATCTTCGATAACATTGATATGGAAATATTAATTTATTATTTATACTTACATTCTACCATCGAGTTCGGGTGAATGTTTGTAGAAAGTCTTTATTTCTTTCTGAAAAATATAAATATATACTGATTAAGTATTAACATACTACCGTAGTGTTGCGCCACCACTGTATTGTTTTCGTGTAAATCCTGAACGAGGCGGTGTGCAACACGTATCCCATACTAAACGCGTGTGGTCACAACGACTCCACCCTTCAAGTTAGCATGAATAATGTTCGGTGACGGAGAGAGGGAAATTCTATATATGTACATTGCATTACACGCTCCACTGACTGCTACAGAGTTAAACCTTGTACATTGTGTTGTTTGCTTGGTGAGTTGACAGGTCAGACAACCGTATACAGTAAACGTTGAAATCTGCTTCTCGGCAGAGGGTGACGAGAGGTCAGTGCTACAAAGGATTCGTGTATACCCATTGTTAGATAATAAGGCACATTATATTACTTGTGGTATCGTGGCGTGTATTTATGCTAATTGTGAGCCTGTCACACCTGTATTCATACACAGAGTGTGAACCGGCATTGTATTAGCTACAGATAACTGTACATAAATTGTGATGTATATGTGTATATCATATAGATATAAAACTAATAGTGTTGGACACTGTAGGTGTGTATTATCAAACCCACACTCTCTCACGATCTTTCTAATTCAAAATTAAAACTGTTGTAGCGTATAAACAAGGCAGATACATTCAATTATGTAACATTGGTTATTTAATTTGAGTCGTCATATCAGATCTATATATCAATATACCAGGCATGTACATTATATATACGATGTATCACGATTGTGTCGCAATGAATTATTCCAGCCGAAATGAAAAATTGATTAAATCATAGATCCAAATACTACGTTGACAGTGTACACTATTGTGATGTTGATTAATTTCCATATTCACCACTGGTACCAATAACTCGTATAAAGCTAATTCGACCACTTTGTGATGTATTACCTATTAAATACATTCATACCAGACGCCTTTATCTTATTAATATTAAACATGACATTAATCATTTTTATAGATATGTCAGTATTTGATTGGAATGCGTCAGATAGTTATATAGATACATGATGTATGACCGTCCTGGACGCATGATATATGTTTTATAGATGACTCAACATTTATCCCATCGATTGCTAGCAATGTAGAAATAACATACCCAACAAGTATTTTAAAA